GAAAATGTACTTTAGCGGCATAAAAAAAGTACTGGCGTGGGTGCATACAGGCCTCTACCACACCATTCAGGTCTCATAAATGACTTAGTTATAGTTCTATAATAACGTTTTGGTACATTATATTGATTGTATTAACGAATAAATATTAATGCAATAATTGTCCAAAAAATTAAACAATTTTTTTAAAATTTATTATTTTAATTTTTAAATTTAATTTCCTTTATTTTATACGTAGGACATTTAAGAAGGCCTCTATTGTAAAAATTATATATAGAGAGAAAAATTTTATTTGCATATAAAATAAACTTAATTAAAAAATACTTTGCAATTTAATACTTTGTTTTGTATATTTACTGATTCATAGAGGTAATTTAAGTTGTATATATTCCTCAGAAATGAGTCATATTAATACCTGTTTTATGAACTAAAATAATATATACCTAATCTGAACTACATATAATGAATAGTGGCCTGGTTGTTTAGTAAAACTCATATATCACTAATAAAAAAATTAATTTTTATTTCCCTTATTTTATTTGGAAGTTGGACCTTGCCTGAAAAAAAAAAAAAATTTTAATAATGAATGCATTATTTCCTCTACACAAAGAAACATGTAAAGGGCGAAGCTATAAGTTCTTCTAGGTAACCGGAACTGATTGTTAGTCTTTGGTCTTAAAATGAAGAAAAACGCGAAATAGAACCCAAAAAATTGGAAAAATACATTAAGCGAACGAGAAAGGAAGTGACATAACCTTGGAAAGGAAAACAAGGATCAGTATCCATTACATGGCTAAACGAATATATAGTTGTCAGATGAACAGAATATTTCAAGATGCTGCTAAAAGTGAGTCAATGAAGTGCTGAAGCAGTTTGGATGATATTAAGGGGATGATGCAGTTTATTATGGTAAAGACCATTTTATCAGCAAGAAAGATTTTTTCTAAGCAATTGGCAAGTCAGCACGTTTGCAAGAAGTAAAGGAGGTTTATTATGGTGAAAACCATTTTATCAGCAAGAAAGATTTTTTCTAAGCAATTGGCAAGTCAGCACGTTTGCAAGAAGTAAACGAGATTTATTATGGTGAAAACAAATTTATTTTTAATTACTACTGGAGTTCCACATTGGGACTATCTTCACTTTAAAGCAGGTTATGGAGTGGTCAATCCAGAAAGGGGAATAGCTCTCCTTCTGTTTAGTGCATTTGCAAAAGATTTTGAAGGAAGACTAGCAGATTAAAAAGATTAGCATAATCCGTGGGCGGGGTGGTTGCCTGGCAACCTGATATATGACAAATGTAAATATAGGAGTTCTCGTCCCGGTGCCAAGGTGTCTTTTAAATCACCGCCCACACCTCCTGGCCCAGGAAAACCCGTATAGCCTTAACGGCGAGGAAGGGGAGGAACCAAAAAAAATTAGCACAATCCAAAGCGTGAGCCACTAAGCAGAGAGATAGATATTGTTATTTTTTGATGGATTTCTCTATAACCTGCCTTAAAGTGAAGACAGTCCCAATTTGCAATTTCTGTTCCAATGTGCAACTTGAGTTTCTCAATCCATATCGCTCTCGCAATCGACAATATTTCTTATTCTAGCTAGAAATTTAATTAAGAAGCTTCTACGATTCTTGAGTAGAGTATCTTTGGTGCACTAAACAAGAATGAATCTCGATGGGTATTAAATTTTCCATTACCTCTTATCTTGTAAAGGCACAAAATTACAGTCCTTTCATATCATTTTATAATACGTCTATTGCCTATGTATGCACAAAACAGTGTGAAGCAGTTTAGTTTACTTCATCCAGACCAGCTGACTTGCCAATTGCTTTGAACAAATCTTTCTTGCTGATAAAATGGTCTTCGACATAATAGACCTGCATCGTTTCCTTAATATCATCCAAACTCCTCCAGCATTTGACCCCTTTTGGCAGCATCACTTTAACACATTTGGATCGGTTTCATGAAAGCATATTAGCCCTGGAGCCAGGGCCCAAAAATCGACCGGATCGCAGGCAAAGGTTTGATTGTAAATTACGAAAGTGTATGTTATTCTGAGTAAAAATAACCTTGTCTGCCGTTCCGGAACCGCTGCTTTCAAATATGACGGCTGATTTAAAGAATATTGGGCCAATAATTTGAGGATCGAAACGGGAAATCCATTGCGAAAAATATGAGAAAAGTTTCTATTTTTTTAACTTGTATATTGACAAATTACTGTAATTGGCCCTGTAACTTGGAAATGAGTTCCCTAAGAGGAAAAACCCATAGAATCAAAGTTGTAGAGCATCAAATTTTGCGTATACTCAGTATCAACTAATTTAATGTAGGTCACTTGCTGCGAACAAAATCGGTAATCTCCCGATGGCTAGAAATTGGTAATGAAGGTAAACGTGATTTTCAATATTTCAACAGTATGGGTGTCTATTCTACTGAGTTAGTTTTGTTTAAAGTCTGTTACATGCAGTATAAGCCTCTTTTCCACCTCTCAACAGCAAAAGATTTTGGTAAACGATTTGCCGAATTTTATAAAAGAATAACGAATCCCGATTCGATATCTATAATTGGCCAACAATTAAAATGTCAGTACCCAGTATACGCAAAATTTGATGCTCTACAACTTTGATTCTATGGGTTTTTCCTCTTAGGGAACTCATTTCCAAGTTACAGGGCTATTTATAGTAATTTGTCTCAGTTTTTGACAAATTTGGTAAAACTCAACGTTGGTTGACCGTGGTTTTGAACCTTACTGCGAAACCAAGTTTTAACGTTTATGTACTCGTTTGACGCAAAATTTAACGTTCTTTAATTTATTGAAGAACACATTTTTCGCTTTGATGCGTTGTTTAGGAGATATAGATGAAAAACCCAAAAAATATCGAAAAAATCTGACTTTTTGTTGCTGTAAAAAGTTTTTCCTTTGTGGCCTGCGTTAGCAATTTTGTTTTTCACATGTCTAAACCCATATATACAAGTTTAAAAAATATAAACTTTTCTCACCTTTTTCGCAATGGATTTCACGTTTCGATCCTCAAATTATTGGCCTAATATTCTTTAAATCAGCCGCCATTTTTGAAAGCAGCATCTCCGGAACGGCAGACAAAGTTTTTTTTACTCATAATAACATACACTTTCGTAATTTACAATCAAACCTTCGCCTGAGATCAGGTCGATTTTTGGGCCCTGCCTCCAGGGCTATATCGTCTTCATCAATTGTCCGCACAGGCGGATCTACGGGGGGGAGGAGGGGGGCTTTCGGGCTGAAGCCTCCCCCTCCCCAAATGGGAAAATATAACCATGTTTTACCGAAAAAAATATTAAAAAATTATCTCTCAAAGTATTATTGTTCGTGTAATTACATTTAAAAGGGCTTTAGGAATCATTTAAACACAATTTCATATAGGTAGTTAGTTTCTTCCTTTTTTTCCATAGTAATTATCGTTATTTTTATGAAAAAAAAAAACCTTCAGGCTGAAGCCCCCCCCCCAAAAAAAAAAAAAATCCTGGATCCGCTAGTGATTGTCCGTCTGGTAAAAAAAAAATGAAAAAACAATCTAAAATAAGAGTTAGTTCACTTTTGAAAGAATAGTTTCTCAACAACCATTAATACTAGTCTAAAAATGGTTTTAAATCATTAAATGATGTTTTTTGAAATAAAAAAGTAGTCTGAATTAGAAGGAAATATTTCATCTTTTTTTTTTCTCCATTTTCTTATCTGTTCGGGCAAAACGGGTTTTTTCCAGAACAAGGGTGGAGGGCCGGAGATAAATACCTGAGTTCAATTAGATAAAATTCTTGCGTACCTACTTGTATGCCTTTGCTTAGCCATTTTTTAAATTGATTTTAGTTTACGTATTTTATTCTCATAAATTAATTGTTATTGATTTTTATTTATTTATTTTAATTTTTGTTTTTTGGAATATTGAGGGAGCGAAACGATATCTTCGCCTTCTCTCCATTTTTATTGGAGGGGGGAGGGAGGAGAGGAGATTGCCTTCCACCCGAAGTCTGTGCAGGATAATAGATTTTCGTTAGTCAGGTGTTCGTCAATTCTCGTTTTGATATTTTATGCCGATTGAAATGAAATGAAAAATAATTTTATTCTGGGACTGAAGTCCCCTTAGAATAATAGTAGAGTTTACCGAATATGTATCTCAGTCTGGCATGTAAGTATTATAAAAATATATACAAAAAATACCTAGGAAATTGTAAGCACACATATATATATATATACAAAGATACTAAGAAAAATACAAATATATATATATATATATATATATATATATATATATATATATATATATATATATATATATATATATCTGTGTTTGTCGTTATTATGTTTTGCAGATATATATTTTTTTCTTGGTCCTTTTATTAATTTTATATATATATATATATATATATATATATAATTAAAAAATATATTAATTATAAAATTAATAAAAGGACCAAGAAAAAAATATACATTTACAAAACATAATAATGACAAACATAGATATATACAATAAAATACTGAGATCTAAAAAAAATAATAAATAACTATAAAATGACTTCAATCAATTAACTGCTGGTGACCAACGTAATTATTTAACCCAGGAATTTTTACAATCTTGCGGAAGTTTGAATTTGTAGTAGGTGGTGGAATATGAGTTGTTTGAAGGAGTTTATGGACGTTGTTTGACGTATGGAGATGGGTAAGGAGTTCCATAAGGATGAACGATTTACTGAAGGAAGTGGTTTTATGGGAGGGGATATATAAATCTATAGGTTGAGATCTGGTATTGAGAGATTATTGTGTATCTATATCTGAAAATGTTTTTTCGCAGTAGGAGTTGAACACCTACCGCTGAGTTTATGAGTAGATCGACAATTTCTAGAGTAAGTGTTCACATTTTGGAGTAAGTTCTCTTTATTCACATCTAGTCGGAACATCTGTTCAATATTTTGATCAAGGAGTAAGAGCTCAGTTTTATGCACATCATTTAATGTGTTCCATACAGCTGACTCAGCCGTTGCTTTTATCAAATAAATAAATAAATAATTGTATTTACATTGCACCTATCGCCTTATCAGTGAAGTGTTGTTCCTATCGCAGTCCACATCGTGCAATGTCTCTAGATTTCAAAGTATATTTACAGACACCAGATGGGGACGAAGTTATTCGCCGCATTTGTATTCCAGGTTTGGATTTTGGATATTTAAGGCATGAAATCTGCTACAGGTTTTCGATATCGAAATACGAACATTTTTCTTTGTGCTGGAAAGGTAATACATATTAATTTTATCCTTGTATGATTAATCGATCAAAAATTTGTGTAGATATTATTTTGCAGCGCGATCTACGTGTAGACAATTAAATTATTTATTTTTTATAGGTATAACGCTATTTAAAGTTCAATTGTGGATATCTATACTATCCTCACATATGTTACTACAGTAAGGCTCGAAATCGGTTTTGTACCAAATATAAGCTCCTGTCATGCTCAAATATCATGAATGGTAAACCGTTGGATTCAGAAGTTAAGCGAATCGTACCCACCGCTTTTGTTTTTCTTTCTAAAATAAATAAAGTCGATATAAACATTTTGCTAAGCTTCAATACTGTAACGGTGGTAAGTCTGTAGATCGATACGGGAAAAATTGGGCTTTGAAGATTTTAATGCGTACACCAAGACCTGGATAGTTCTTTCGGAATCATCGTGCTCTACGTTTTTAAGCCCAAAAACGTGCTATTTTCGAGATAATAGGCACGTGTGGTTTCACAGCCACACAGCCTTCCGTTAATTGTAGTACTGTCATCACGGGCGGATCTACGGGGGAGGGGCTTTCGTGTTGAAGCCCCCCTCCCCAAAATGGGAAAATATAACCATGTTTTATCGAAAAAAATTATCTCCCAAAGTATTATTGTTCGTGTAATTACATTAAAAAGAGCTTTAGGAATCACTTAAACACCATTGCATATAAGTAGTTAGTTTCTTTCTTTTTTTCAAAAGTAATTTTTTTTTTATTATGAAAAAAAGCGAGCTGAAGCCACCCCCAAAAATTAAATCCTGGATCTCCTAGTAACTGTCATGGAATACATGTCTCATTTCGTCGACTTGAAGTTTCTATGATCGAGAAAGGGGACGTTTATATTTTTTATCAAAGATGTCTTTTTGTCCGTAAGTCATATCGTCGTTAATTCTTCACCAAATCCACAAGATTGAGTCACCAATTTTGAAGGTTTCCTTATCCTTCAGACTGGAAAAATAGTCCAATCACAAATTTAATTTAGGCAAAACATTTATGAAAGAAAAAAATAAACTTTATTTGTTAATAACTCAAAAATTATTACACACTTTTCCCTTGGTTATGTCCATGATTATATAAAAGATTACTAAATTCCCAACAAAAGAAAAAAAATCATCGAAATCGATCAGAATTTTTTTCATTTTATCCTTATTTTCGATTAATATTCATTAGGAGAGCTCTATTATAGACCATTTCATTTGAATATAACTATATATTTGGCATATAGCTATAATATAAGTACTACTTGAAACAATTTGTACTGACTGAAGAAGAGAAGTGGGTTCAAATATTTTTTTAAGGGAAAAAAATTAAGATTTGTATGTCGCACCTCGATAAAGCCTCAAATACAAATTTTCATAAAAATCAAAAAATAATTTTGTTTTGCACCAAATCGAAACTAGTCTCCCTTCTTTCGAAAATCAAAAGTGGGATAACATAAAAACGATTCCATTTATCTACATATAACACATTTTCCCTTGGTTATGTTTATTATTATATAAAAGATTACTGAATTCTCTACAAAATGAAAAAATCATGAAAATCGGACAATTATTAACAAAAATACAGCTTATTGAACTTTGTAAACATGTTGGTTCCAAACGTTAAAGAAGTTTTAAATTAATTTTTGTTTGCTTTGTCGATTTCATTTACCGAGAAAATAATAAATGATTTCTTTTATGATACGTTGCATTATTTTCTTTTCTTATTAATTCCTTATTTGATCATTGAACAATATACTGTGCGAATTTTTGCACGGGCCTACCAGTTATTAGTAACATTTCAAATACTTTTGTTTATTTTAATTTAATAAAGAAAATCATAATTATAATTAGCCATAAGATTGAAATTACAATCAATTGAATTATATATTATTGGATCATTTGTTAAGCTACATATGGTTAGTAAGTTTGATCAAGGAACTTTTTTGTAATTTCTTACTCTTTTTAAAAAACATATTTTTATTCTATTATTTGCTATAGTAAATGCAATTGAAAACTTATTCAAGATAAAGATTTTAATTTTTTTTATTTTTAAGCACAATGCGAATTATCGTGTATTGTTTATTCATTATAAATTGTATTATTTTATATAAATAAAATTAACATTTAATCGAAGAAATATATTTCATCTATTAACCCGTTTATTTTCACCACTTTTCTAAATTGAGGAAAGAATGACATATAAATTTTCCTGTTTAAACTTATTTATTTGAAATTCTTATTTCTGTTTTATTTGATTTGTAACAAATTATTTTACTTCCACCAAACAATGATTATCATTAACTCATTGAAGATATTTTTTGAAATCTGCTTATTAATGCCAGATTTTTGTTCTTTATCAAAATTCTTTAAAAAATAAAAAAACAAACTGATGATGTTCATTTATTTATTATTTTTATTAAATTGAACCTTATATAATTAATGTTTTATATGATGTCTTCGGATAAAGAATAAAGTAGTTCATTTGAAATGTATGAGCAAATTATAAACACTGATATTAAAAAAATAAATATTAAGAACAATTTATATATTTTCGAAAGTGTTAACTATTATTTTAAGCAGATGGTTTCCTTTGAACATTTTATCATCACACCTGTTTCCTAGTTAGACACTAATGAGCAATTGTAAAGATGGAAAAATAGGTAGAATTGCCCAGTGTTTTCAGAAATGACAACAGATCATATATGGGTGGAATGTAACATCACAGTTTCTTGTCATGAAAATTAGAAAAATATGTTAAAGTAAATGAATAATGTTGTTTAAGCATGAACATATTTAAAACTTGTAAATTAAATAATTTAAAGATAGATAAATATTGTTGAATTTGTAAGCATGAAAAATGATTAAGATGTGCAGTCGAAATAGTCTGTTTATTGAGTTTGCCGACGTTTCGAGCAAAACATGTGGTTGAAAGGCCAGACAATAACCCTTCTTGAATAGTTCTTGTAAATGAAATAGTTAACAGCACTTATCTTATAGATTCATATACTAATTTACTACTTTATAATTTACTAATTAAATTATTTGTTTTTCATGATATCAGATAATGAAGGTGATAAAATCCGAATAAATACAGAAAGGGAGCTTGAAATCGCACTAAATGAAACTAGCTCTTCTCCTATAAAGTTGTATGTTATACTTCAAGGACAGCAAGGTTAGTGAGAATTTGATTGTAAAATTTATTCTTATAACATTTTCTTTTATCTCGGGAATCTACTTTGTATTGTTCAAGTCCCTGTTTGTGAACTATTTACTTTCATAATAAGTTTATATTTGAAATTTTCAAATATTGATATATTGCTGTGAATTACAATGTATCTCTGAAGGTGAAGATAAAAGTCCTCGAATTATATCGGAAAATCTTGCATGCACGGAAAGAACATAATGCAATTTATGAAGAGAAGAATAGTTGGGGTGGTCAGTCAAAAAAGAAGGCAAAAATAAATGATAATATTTATTTTTACATATGCCGACGTTTCGACCTGAAGTTCTGGCCTTCATCAGGGCTAAGAACATAACCAGATAACAAGGTATGAGAAACATAAGTAGTGATGGTAAAAAAAAAAAAAAAAAAATTCTCAATTCTCAATTGTAACACTTATGTCACCCTTTTTGATTATGCCTACTTCATCATTCCACACTTTGTAATGGTTATTATTATTTATCTCTTAGTTCTTAGTCATTATTCTAACAATTTCATTTTACTTTATATTTATTTATTTTATTTATTTATTTTTTTTTTATAATTTTTTATTTATTTATTTTTTATTTTTTTTATTTTTTATTTTTTACCGTCACTATTTATGTTTCTCATACCTTGTTATCTGGTTATTTTCTTAGCCCTGACGAAGGCCTGAACTTCAGGTCGAAACGTCGGCATATGTAAAAATAAATATTATCATTTATTTTTGCCTTCTTTTTTGACTTACCACCCCAACTATTCTTCTCTTCATTATCCACGACAGTCAACCATTTACCAATTATAATGCAATTTAATATAAAAATAATTTTTTTAGAAAAACAATAGTTCAAAAATACTATGAATAAAATATATATTTTAATATATATATTCCTAGGTGTAGGTTACACAACAATTTTGAATTTGTTCATATTGTTGTTTCTAAAGAGAGATTTGTTTTTAAAATAATTTATGAAGATATTTCAGAGGGTTTTTAAAATTTCTTTTCACTTATACAAATAAGTTCTTCCAAATTTTGAATATAGGAGAGATTTTTAGGTTTGGTAGGATACTTATTGTAGTAGCAGCCATTAAACTTTCAAAAATTTAAAGCCCATAATTCTGAAACTAATCGTTAGAATTGGCTAAAACTTGGTATTTTTCCTTACATGTACATTTAATTAATATTTACAAATTTTCATTAAGATCTGAGGGAGGTGGGTTAGGGACCCTGGATGATTTGGCATGGAATGACACTTCTTTCTTTCTGTTTTAATACAAATTATAAATGAAGCTTTTGATTCTTAACATTGATTATTTTATATTCTCACATAGATCATCCTAGTGACCATCTAAAAAAGAATGGACCAGTTCATTCCACAGTGAATTGTGATGAATGCGGACTGAAATCGTTACAAGGTTACAGATATAAGTGCTTAGTCTGTCACAATTATGATTTATGTACAAATTGTGAAAAATCAGAAAGGATTCATTCGGAACACCCCATGGTTAGGATTCCTGTGCCCTTAAATGGTGTAAGTAGATTATGATTAAGGATTGGATGTAAACGAATACAAATTATTAGTTTCTTGCCCAAATACATGTATGAATACACTTTTAGGAACAACCATTTGGAAGGAAGTATCAAAATGTTAAAGACAACATTTATGGAACTATGAAATATTTACTTGAAAACAGTTAAACAAGATTGAAAGGACTGGATGACAATATTCTAATTGACAATGTTTATATATAATTAAAAACGTTTTTATATGTATCATGCCAAAAAATAAAAAATAAAATAAAGAATTTAACAAGAAATTTAGTACCATCTTTGAAAAATTAATATTTATTGAAAACATGATAGTATAATTAACTAATTCTACAAAGTTGTTAATGAACAAGTTGTTGATTATGAGTTGCTGCATATTACTGTTCCCAAATAATCTCTTTTTATAGCTGTAATTCAAATCTTTTCTATGATCTAGAACTCATAAATTTTGACTTTTTGAGCTATATTCTGCGTTCTATCAGAATGACAGCATATACAACTGTATGCTGTCACATCCCAAACCAATCCTAAATTCTTTAAAATTTCCAACACAATATTTATCATTCCATCACCTCTCAGGCCTTCAGATACATAATTTTTTGTGCATCAAATAATTTGAAGGAAAGAGGTATTTCTTTAATTTTTTTATATTATTTATTTTTTTAGAACACAGATTCTAACAACAGAGTACTGATTATGGATAACACATTATTGGTATATATATATATATATATATATATATATATATATATATATTTTTTTTTTTTTTTTTTTTTTTTCATTTCATTCCTTACAACAAATTTCGTCATGTATTTTCTTTCTAAAACTTTTATTATTTCCTTAAATTCTTAATGAACCATAGTTATGTTTTTAAAGGTTAATAAACTAACTTTATGGGTACATAATGTCTGAGAATTATGGATACTTAGTTGCCAGAGAAAATAATTTAGGAATAAAAATACTACTATATTTATATAAATATTTTATTGACAAAACTTTTTTACAAAAACTGTTTATTTTTAGACATTATTTAATTACAAAGTTGCATATCATTAAATTATGCTTCCATGAAGTAGTGAAAATTTCAAATTAGGTTAAGCGTACTTCTTGAATGGGGGTTGATCTCTTCTCCATGAAATCTCCCGCCTTGTGACTACTAATGTAATCATATCTATTCTTCTAAGAGCTGGAAAAAGGATCTATGTTATAGATGTAATATAGATTACAGACAAATCCACAATGAAGACATAATTTTAATTAAAATTTTATTTACCATAGCACTAAAAAAGATAATAATAAAAAAATTGCCATTACATTTGTTTTTTCTTTTCCGTACCTAGAATTATTTTAATAAAATGAAACGTAAACATATTTTTATCAACACACCTTATAATTATTGTTAAATCAAATTATTTTCATCAAGATTTATTTATCTATGAAGAAAGATAGATTAAGTATAATTATTTACATGTTTAATATAATTTCAAATAATAAAATATTTGCTTAAAAAAACTAGAATTTATTTGAAAATTTTAACAAACAATGGAAAAAAGAAACATTTAAGTAAAAGTTTTATAGAGATAATTTTAGAGTTCTGAATAGTTTTAACAAAATAAAAATAAACAAGGTAAGATGAAATTTAGATTAAGAGTGTTGGTTTCAGACTAATTGTACTTCTTCATTAATGAAAATAAAGAAGCTTTGTTTTTGTATTACCTTAAATACATTTACTGCAGTTTAGTGATTATAGATCTGATATTATAATTGAATAATTAGGTATCAACGTTTATTCCAAAAAATTGTCATGTTACTTTTTAGAAAATTAAATTAGTGAATAATTTGATGAATTTCCCTCCCCCCTTTTTGATACTCCAACAGTATCCATTACTATTTAATTGAACTTGTGTGAAAGAAGAAGTGAAGTATAAAAATATTTCATAGATATGTTTATAACCTTAAATATATTTTCTGTAGTTTAATAACTCTATATTTGATATTATATTTAAATAGTTAATAGATTTAAGTGGGCTGAAATAGACCAGCGTACAACTAGCACAAACAGAGAGTTATCTTCTCTCTTTCAAAGGTCTTGAAATCACGAAAAATCTCAAATTAAGGATGTACAATGCTATGATAAAGTCAGTTCTAATATAAGGCTGAGAGACCTGGGTAGTAACCAGCACCCTAGAAAAAACTATTAAAAGATTTTAGAGAAGAATCCTCCACACGATAACCGGAGCGATCTGGGATCAGAGTACTAACACATGGAGAAGAAAGACCAATAAAGAACTGCTAATAGAAACTGGTCGAGGCGGCCAAGGACCACACCGGTCTGTAGTGCCATGGAGTTAGGTAGTTAGTTAGTTGGTTAATAGAAACTGGTTAACCAATATCCCATGATATGAAGGCACGGAGGTTAAGATGGGTAGAGTATGTTGCTTGATGCAATCCATCTGGAAGTCTCTACGTAACAATGAATGCCTCAATAGAAGCCAAAAGACCTCGTGGAACGCCGAAAAGCAGATGCATAGATGGAATAAACAAAGATTCAACAGAGCTGCACTCAGATAACTGGAAAGAAATATCTCCAGACAGGCAGAGATGGAATAGGCTTGTTAAGGCGCCATAAAATCCACAAGACCAGTAATGCCAACAGTAAAAAAAATAGGTAAGTGAAAGTAAAAATATATATTTAAGAAATGAAAGAATTTTACTGTAGATAAATTAATGGTCGATAATTTATATGTTAAAATAATTTATATTAAAATAATAATAAATTTTATTTTTATTTATGCAGTTTTAAAATATTTTTATTTTTTTAACGCCTCTCCTCTGAAGGATTGGTCACATTCTGTTGCGTACTATGACTAGGTGTGTAAGATGGAGCACTGCTGTAAGCGAGTAATTTTCTATTTTTATATACTTATTGTTGATTAATTAATATTTGTTTTTAATGTTGTTATGTGTTTTATAAATGGGCTAATGTCTACTTTTAAGTCCTCTGAAATAATTTCGAATATATTTTTTTCAGATGAAAATTCACAATATATTGTAAAATTAGATTTTTTCCCTGAAGAGACGAAAATTCGAATAAATTTAAAATAAAGTATTTTAATTATTGAGAGTAAAAAGGTCTTTTTTCTACTGATAAATGTGATTTATAAGTTATCCTTAAGTTTTTTGTAATATTTATAATATAGCATAAAATGGGACACAATATTGTAATACCATAATAAGGGTAATAATGTTTATAATATAGACATAGACTTTATTTATATGGGGTTCTTTCCTCAAAACAAATAAAGATTAAATAAAATAAAATAAATAAACCATTGTGTAATTATTTGCAGCATTTTTATTTTTAAATTAAATGATATTATAAACATTTTATATATGTAATATGCTAAATCGCATAAAATCTATAAAAGAATATATATATGACCCATGAGGGGGAGGAACTTAAATGGCTATGTAATAATACTAATGTTCGCCCAGTGGTCGAAATTCGACCATAGATATTAAATCATTAAATTAAAAATAAATTCAATAAATAAAGAGTAAATCTTGATTCAAAAATCCTCATTTATTAAAATAAACAAAATTTCAATTTCAATTAAAAATTTAGCTTAAACTACCTAAAATTATTTATAAGTAATTTAAAATAGCCTCATTTAAAATTTAATTTCCATTTTAATTTGTGTGTGTTATTATCACAATAAATTAATGTTATGATTAAGCAAGTAAAAAATAAATTTAAATTAGCAATTTCAACTGAGTTTGAATCCATTTTCATGCAGAACTTCTCTGAAAACAATGTCCTTTTTTAATGATCTGTTATTGTTTAGTACATATCCTTGACCATTGCCATTGGAAACACAAATTTCAAAATTTTAATTTTAATATGCTCTACTTGCTGCTACATATGATTGTCCATGCGAAATTACTGGACGTCGCTATAATACAAAAATTTTTCCAAAAGCTTGACCCTGCGATTTGATTATGGCCAGAGCAAATGCAGCTATTAATAAGAACGTTGTTCTTTGGAATGCGAATGGAAGTATTATGTCAGAAAATATTAAATTAACTCTTGGAATTCAAATTCTTTTATTTAAAATAGCTCCCGTCAGTACTTCACTCTCATTCGTGTTCCATTAACTACTGCTTGTGCAGTATTTAAGTTAAGAATGAGTATGACTATAGAATTTATTTTTAAATTTAGTTTATGAGGTAACATTCCATGATATAATCTCTTCAAATAATAGTCCCGATCACTTCATTAAGTTTAAAGTTTTCAGTTTATCAAAAACCAAAATAGAGGAAATCGACTTTGCAAAAGAAAAAGTACTAAATGAATGAGATGATCCGGGGTGATGGTCATAAATAGGCTAAATAGTGGCCAAACTATTTTATTAAAAGCCAAGGTTTCGACCCGACTTTGCAGGTCTTCTTCAGGGAGGTGTGTTCAGCTAGGAGTTTCACTTAGAACTGCCTTCCTTTATAATGCAACGGTCAACTATTAAATATTCAAAAAATACTAAATGTTAGAAATCACATATCTCTGCAACAAATAGTCCGATTTCGATGATTTTTTTTTTTTTATTTTGTAGGGAATTCAGGCCTGATCATAATGAAAAGTATAAAACACTTTTAAATATTATTGCGAAGTTGTGTCAAAATTTCAAAGAAATCGGTAAAGGATTTTCGGAGATTAGCTGTTTTGAACAAACTACCAATTTCATATTTATTTATAAACTGTTTCATATTTTTATTTATTGATAACAGTAAAGCTCATCAATAGCTATTAAACAAAAAACGCTGCAAATTATTTCACAATGGTTTATTATTTCCAAACAATTATGCATCTAAAGTAACATTACCTTCCGAGTTACAAAGAAAAAAAAACAAAAGGTGATTCCAATTATTAGACTAAACTGCTATTCTTTAATCATTAGTAATATGCTAAAAGAAAATAGCATTAGTTCAGTAACACATTCAAAATTTAAAAACCAAACCAAGGACATAACATTTGGAACCGAAAAATCGGTCCTGTAGTTTCGGAGAAAATGCGCGGACGGCGGACGGAAAAAAAAAAAATTTATTCGTTTTTCGAATTCTACGCATCTTGAAACGTGAAACCTCAAATTTTGAGGGGGGGTTCTGTTTTTGAATTTTTTGATCGATCACAATGTTTCATTATTGAAAATAATAAACCAAAAAACCGGAAACCATATCTTTGCTCCTAATTGTCCGATTTTAACGATTTTTTTTTTTTTAGGAAATTTCGAAAACTTTAAAAAAAACTATATATCAACAAAAAAGTACAAACTTTTCGAGTTATTCAGAATTTAATTTTACCATCCCTCGTAACTTTTTTTCCAGCTTCTTTTCGTTGAAGTATGTTATATAGATAAATTTAAAGGGCGTCGAGAAAATGAGTTTAGCGAAGTTTCATTGAAATCTTTACATTCGTTTAGGAGCTACAGTCTATAGCAACGCAGGTTTTTCGGCCGCCATTTTGAAAGTTAAAGGCGGAGCTAACGTCGATGAAGGATCATCCTCGGGTGACCTCTGATTTTATATCAAAATTCGAAAGAAATCGGTCCAGTGGTTTCGGAGAAAATGCGCAGACGGCATACGGCAGACGGTGGACGGACAAAAAAATTTTTATTCGATTTTCAAATTCTACGCGTCCTGAAACGTGAAACCTCAAATTTTGAGAGGTGGTTAAGTTTTTTTAATTTTTTGGTCGATCACAATTGTTGCTTATTGAAAATAATAAACCAAAAAGAAGGAGGAAAATCGGTTGAATAATAGAGGAGAAACAGGGGCTGAACCTTTTTGTATTTGCCTATTTACATAATGATTTTCCAATCGTCAAAGGTTCTGAGAAAAGCCTGAAGACCTCCAGAATGCCAGATATCACCTGAAAAAATCACTAGAGTATGAAGTTGAAGTTGAAGAAATATGATCATGCCAAGATAATTTCATAAACAAAAAATATTTCTTCACTTACGAGTTAATAGGTTTTTAGCAGTATTGTGAATTGACGGTATTAAAACCCATCGAGGTGACATGGTCCCTGACGGGCTCTAGTACCACTTGCATTCACAAAACCTAATGACACTGATCGATAATATAATTTCATAATTCGATCAGACAATTCAGAAGAGTCTTTTCATACCTCACTACGCCTCAGACATTGACTGAACCAATGGAGCGCAATGGTATCTTCAGAGTGTCCACTTTTTTCGGTATATTTCCTTTTCGAAGAAGAAATAGTGTTCTACAGGTGGACAAATTATTGGTCATGTTTTCTTTAATTTTGAATCTCATTGTTGGAGCAGTGTATTCTTATTGTGCTGGATGCCAAATGTGGTTTTCTAAGCTCAAAAGCTACAATATTTATCTTTATTTAAGCTTTTATGGTTTACATATATTTGTTCTGCTTCGTTTTCCACTCAACATTTATTACCAGAAAGACTCTGTTGTAAAAGCTATTCATGATTTAAATACCTTAGAATCATCGTTTCGCAAAATGGGTTTGGAAATTAAAAATTGTTACAGAAAAAAAATCATGTTGTTTGAAATATTGGCTCCTGTAATATGCGGCATTATATTTTACGTTGGACGGAACACATCTGGATATATTATAACAGCGATTGGTTTGACTGTGGCGCTTTTAGAAATGGCTTTAGCTGGCGGACAGTTCTGCTTTCTTGTCGATACAGTTTGCGATTTTTTCGATTCAGGTATTACGTTGCTCACTCTCATTTCGAATCCCAACTCTCGTGAGCTGAATATCAAAACGACAGAACAATTCGTCATGAAAACAGGCCGATTGATCTCGGTGTTAAGAAGCCTCAACTCGATTTATTCTAAACAAATACTCATCGGCATGGCCGTACACTTTGTTGCCATTACAGTTCAGTTGTATTACGTCTTCTACAATAGCACGACGGATGAGGAATGGAGAAGAATGTGTGTACCAGGAGATTTCTTGATGGTATTGTACCGTTTTTATTTTGTTTGGCGTGTGAGTCATTCAGCAACCCAGGCGGGTAATAAGGTTTGTAACTGTTATATATTCAGCAACCTTTTGTTTTTAAAAAGTGTAGGTCTCACTTATTTATTTAAAATAAATTATATCATGGTGTGCCACGATTAAAAAATTAACTTGAATACCAGGGTTGGGTCAATTTATCTGCTAAACATTATAGAGGAGTAGCTATTGGATTATCCTGAAAATAATGCAGAATTTTGGTTTAAAAAGAAAAAAGAAAATGGTCTACTACTATGAAAACATTTATGCTAACGTGTTGGCAACTTTTCCATTCCCTCGGGATAGATTTTTCAATCTTTGTAATTGATAAACTTCAAAAACGCATTTTCTAATTCCCATTGTCCATTAATTTTGTTGTCACGTAAGTAGTGGTCGTTGTATAAAAAAAAAATAACAATCTATAGGCGAAAGGTCCGGAGAGTAGGGAGCATGTGGCAGAGTTTCTTATCTAAGCTCAGATAGTTTTTGCTACGTCATACGTGAGAAATGTGGTCGGGCGTTGTCTTGCAACAAAATGGGTCCCTTTCGATTTACCAAACATGGCTTCATTATTGCCAATTTCTGATGCATTGCTTGGGGATTTGGTTACAATACGATTCTATATTGATGGTTTCGCCAGGATTTAAGAAGCTGTACTGTATCAAACTAAGCGAAGTCCACCAAAAAATAACCATCACCTTTTTTGTGATGAGTTGGTGGCTTTGGAAAAGTGTTGCTGCTTCTCCTTTGTCGAGCCACTGTCCCGAACGTCTACTGTTATCGTAAAGTGTACAGTAACAATTATCAACAGAAAAGGGTCGTTTTTGTTTGGACAAAGAAATGTAGCACAAACTTCATGAATTTCTTTTCTACTTTAAACACACCAGTGACGCTATCCTTTTCACTTCTCGCCTCTCTAATAAGACATCGCGTTAAAATAGAATTATGAGTAATAGCTCCTTACAAAGAAGATAAAATTTTGAACATTTGTCTTGGTTACAGTATACAGGTGCGATTTTTAGTTTCTGGGCTATTTTGGCCCAAATGGAAAAACACTTTAAAAATTCACAGTTGTCCTTAAAGTAGAAAAGAGCCAAAATGAGAAAATGTGAAATAAGGAAGAAAGGCAGTGGCGAAACGAAGTTAGGCGGGAAGTACTCCTTAGTTTATGTATGAGTACCTAGAGGGATTTTTGCCAAAGAAGGAGTTAGACTAATAAAGTCACCTACTTATATTTTAGCGGATTGGGATACAATGTCCCCGGAAATGATAAAACAATTTAATATTTTAAAATCATACCAATATTTATCAAACCCTCAAATGCAAACCCTTAAATATCTTCGAATAATCTAAATTTGCAGTTTCATATTTGGAGTTTCATACAACTTTCAATGAAAACGGTCACACATTATAACAAGAGATAAACAAAAGGCAAATTTTTCTTAGCAAGGGCTAAAGTTAATTATTAGTTTAAGTTACCATGACAGTTCAATTCTATAATTTAAAAAACAGTTCTACATTTCAACTAATAGTTAATCTAGTCAACATTAACTAAGATCCAATACTTGATTGCTAAATTAACTGTATATTTACCTTGAATAATGTTCCTATTAATCAGCTGTTTAATTTAACATTGGCTGATTAAAAAGATATTTAGCTAATGGCAAACTCTGGGTGTGTTCCAACAATCAGTCCTGGACTGTTTTCGCATGCGCAGTAACATGGCTAACAAGGCCACATAACCTGTACTGCAAATGCGAAAACAGTCCAGGACTGCTTGTTAGAACAGACCCATTGCCACTAGGCTTTGGAAATAAGAATATATACTCTTTAGAATTAGAAATTTATTTTATTTTGAATTATTAACATTTCAAAAGATACAGCATTCTGTATTTTATAACAGAAGGTAGATGTTTTAACTAGAAGGTTATCTATGAAAAATAAATTTATCTAAAAAGTTAAATTCAAAGTTTGTTACTTTCAATATTGTCTTATAATACATGTGTTTCAGTTCAAGGAATTCAATACACTTCTATACGAGCTCATGATTGAGGACACGACTAATGAAATTATACGTAATGTGAGAATTTTCTTTATTTTTTGTCCAAATAATATGATATTTATAATGTTTAAATATAAGGATATTCTTTTTCATCATCATTCGTGAGGCTACAACTCCTGTAGAGTCAAGGCCTCCTGCAGCTTGGTCCGCCAATCTTCTTTATTGGTTGCCGTTGCTCTCCAATTGCGGATTTCCAAGATGGACCTGGCGTCCGCTGGTACTCCATCGATCCATCGATGCCGAGGTCTTCCTACTCTTCTTGTTCCATAAATCCTTTCTATCCTATCCTGTTCTAGGACTATCCTAAAAATCTGATCCTGGGTCATTCTAATTAAATGACCTGACTATTGAAATCGGCTTACTTTAGTCAACTTTACGATATCTCTGTAGCTCAGCATTCGTTGTTATCCTCCAGATTCCATTGATGCAAACTCCTCAATATTCTCTTCTTGAACCTTAGGAGAAGTGCTTCCTGTGTACTGGGTAATGTCCAGCTTTAGGAGCCATAACTGAGAACTAGTCTTAACAGGGTCTTGTTCGTTTGTGTTTTGAGAGAGAGCTCTGCTCCTGAAATGCTTTAATAATCAAAAATATGATTTATTTGCGGACATAATTCTGCGATAGATCACTATTTTTATGTCATTATAAGCGTTTCATTGTGAACTAAGATATAAAAATTCGTTCACCCTTTCAAATGAAAAGCTTCCAGCCATAAAATACACATCCAGTTGTGGGCCTGCATGCGTGTATTTGGTTTTTGATTTATTAATCTCTAAACCTAGCTGCTGCTATATGGAGACTGATAAAAATATTCTTTTTAGAAATTAAATCTTTTCACTGTTTTCTCGAACTTAAAAAATATTTTAACTACCGCAATCATATTTCATGCGAACTAGATGACGTTCTGCTGATTATTCAACATAATATCAGTTATATGTATTAAAAATAGATAGAAATTTGCTTTTAAATGATGAATTAATAGATTCATTGTCTCCTTAGGACATACTGAAGCTACACATTTCGATGAAGAGAGAGGTAGTATTCACTGCTTGTGGTTTCTTTAATTTGGACTACACATTAGTACATTCGGTGGGTATTAATACCTTTTTGAGGTAAATGTACCGGTAATAGACACTTAAGAAAATTTTTCAACATTAATGTGAATCACAATTTAAGTTCTCACGGTGAATATATGCAAATGGGTTTATTTGACAGCCAATTTAGTTTTTTCTATACACTCAAATAGTTTATTATTCATGAACTTTTTACTTATTATTCATGACATATTTGTTTATATAATTTAAAAAACAATTATTCTCTACAGTTTTAAACAAGGAAATGACAAACCACAAATGATTAAATAAAAAACTCAAACCTACCGCCGAAAGAAAAGTCATGAGTAAAGCTCCCTGAAATAAATACCCAGCCTTGCCCAATTGAAAAAAACAATCAATTGGCTATTGTGGCATGATATCACTTTCCTTACTGTTCTTGCTTCAAATCCAATCGTATTTGCTCTATCTTTTGCATGTATAAAGTTTATGAGTTGAAAACTCTATTACTGGTACATTTATCCTATAAGTATAATATACATAATCTGATTTATTTGTTCAAATTATATTCTATGCCATCCTTTTAATTTTCTTCAATAAGTATTTAAGATATTTTCTATTTCAAGGTCAGGACCAAGGAAGATCCTTCTGGGGCACAGAAAAAAGTGCTCTTAATTAATTAATTTATTAAAGAGATAGCCTGGCGGTTGAACGTGATCTATGCCAAATTACCTCCTTCCAGAACCGTTGTCCAAGGAACAGTAATTACAAAGTACTGAATCCAAGACCCTCCAAAAGTTGTAGTCGTCTTAGTTTTACTTTTTACTTCCCACAAATCAAATTCGAAATATTTAACATTCGATTCACTGGATAAATAAGGCAAACTCGGTCTACTACCAGATATATAATAAAATGAAATAACAATATTTGTTTATTATCCTGGGGTTTTCCTTTAGGACAAATTATAAATACAGAAAAAATGCCTGTGTGACCATACATTAAATTAAATATTTATAAAAATTATTGGAAGAAGAAAAAACGAATATTAAAAACATGCATATATATATTATATATATATATATATATATATATATATATATATATATATATATATATATATATATATATATATATTACTTTCACTTACGCTCTACTATATATATATAAAACAAACATGCTAAATAAAATCATTTATGGAAGAAGTTAAAAAGTTCTGTTGGCATTTTGTAACATTTTGAGTACATCAATCGGATTGGGAAAGGAGTACCTGCTTAAAAATTTGAATGAGAGATTTAAATGAGAAAACTGATTGTGCAAATCGGATACCGAGAGGGATGGTATTCCAGAAGGAGAAGGCTCGAATCATAAAGGATTTGGCCTCGAATTCTCTCGAGAGCATCAAGAATGAGGGGATCAGGGAGGAACTGGGAGTCGCACAGTGGTAAATTTGACGAAAAAAAAAATATCTGGTGCGCAAAACACAACTTTTACTTACGCTCTACTTTGAATAGAAATTATTTTCTGGCAATGTTGAGCCATTATAAAAATTTTGAAGTGCGTATTTGATGGAGCTACAGCCTATAGCTTACAACTAACAAATTATTAACACCATTAAAATAACAAGAACCCTATTAATTATAGCAACGGTATGCAATAAAAACCTCGTTACTCAAGCTGCTTTGTAAACCTCACAACTCCAGTCTCTGAGCTATATATATCTATGCCTAAAGAGATTTGAAAGTGTATATTCAACCTATAAATGATTTCGGATTGACGCCTATTAGTAATTAAACTGATATTTTCCGTTTTAAAGTTTACTATTACTAGATTTTCATTGCCTGCCTTAGATAGGTCAAAATTTGTCACACTAATTTTAAGTGTATAATAGTGACGCGGCTGAGAGAGAAGCACTGGGATCTCCTGGAGTCCTGCCTTGGATTCCACGTCGGGGAATAAGGCATGACTCAGAGTCCCCTGGGTGAATGTAAATATTGTACATAGGTGTAAATGTGATTTATTTACTTTAATTTCATTTAGCTTTTATCTATTATTTCATTATATTATTTTCGTACGCAGGCATACCAATTTACTTATTATATTTTTTTTTTTTATATTTCTTTTTCTTTATTATTGATATTAATTGTATGTACATATTGTGTGAATGAATCATGTAGCCTTAATATTAATGCCCTTCAATGTGGCAGAATGTATTAATATTTAATAAAGAAAGTAATAAAAAAAAAAAAAGTTTTAAGTGGATAATGTTAGGATATCACAAAGATAAAACTCATCAAATTATTCACTAATTTAATATTCTAAAAGGTTACAAGAGAAGATTGGTGATCAGTCAAAAAATAAATAAATAAAATAAAATAAATATACTTATTTATTTATTTATTTTTTTTTACTGATCACCCCACCCATCTTCTCTTCAATTACTCACTACAATCACCCATCAATCCACAATCATTGTATTTATTGTATATACTTTTTAATTATTATTTTGTTGTTATTTTGCTTCTGATTATTTTTTATTTCTTTGTACGAATAGTGTAAATGTGACCTCGCTGTAACTAATGCCCAAGTGACTCGATTTTGTAATATTCAATAAAAAAAAAAAATTAACGAGGGTAGAAGAATTCATATTTCCATTAATTAATTTAAAGAGGAAAATAAAATATTTTTTGATAAACCTGTTTTTGGAGGCGAGGTGGTCGAGCGGGCTAACGCGTGTGCACAGCACCGCGTTGCCCGGCAACGAGATGGAAGATAATCGTATAAAATAATTACGAGTTCACGATCCGGTGCTGGGGGGAGCTTTTAACTCTGACATGAATCCTCCGCCTCACCCCATTGTTCAGGAAAACTGCAATTGTAGCCTTCAAGACGAGGAAGGGAAGAAAACGACAGGGTACCTTACAGGGAAAACGTACCTTATCTGGCAGGCGTAAGGAGGCAAAACAATTACGACAATCCTTATAGAAGGAGATTGAACTGATCGATTCTGATATGCTTGGAGTATGGCTTATGAGCATAAATTACTTGTCATATGACATTTATATTTGTGTGAAATAAATAATTTAAAAAAAATATATATTTTATATAGTTTTAGTTTCTGATTGTGTAATTTAATGTTTACTATGTATCAAATTCATCTGTTATTATATATTTGTTTATATTTCAGATGATTGCCTCTGCTACTACCTATTTGGTCATTCTAATCCAATTTGAATAACCTACGGTCCATTATAATTATAACACTTAGTTGTCTAAAGAACGTATATTTATTATAAGTATGATAAGGTTCTGAAGTATTGAAACAATAAAACAATTCATTATGATGATTTTTTTTTCCATTAAATTGAATAATATTAAATTACTATCTTTGTAATCATCTAAACCCTATAATTTGAAAAGAAATTACTTCATTCAATATTAAATGGAAGTACTGTGTGCTCATAATGTGAGCTTTAACATGATAGTACTGAAGCCAGTGTCCAAAAATGATACTCATATCAATAAAAAGTTTGATTGTGAATTACGAACGAAAGTGTATGTTGTTTTAAGCAAAATAAATGAACCTTGTCTTCCATTCAAAACACGCTAATTTCAAATTAGGCTAGTCAGTTGAGGATCTAAACAGTAGTTTTGTTGTGAAAATATAGTATAAGTATTTATTTCAAGCTCAAGCTTTTAACCGGGAATGGCACGGCGGGCTTCTTTCCAAGCTGAAAACCCATCTTCTCCAGTCCTTGTACCTAATCCTCCGCTCTTACCTTTCTGATCACACTTTTCGAGTTCGCTGTACCTTCGAAGAATTTTCCAATTCCTGCGCAGTTGAAGCTGGTGTTCCTCAAGTTAGCGTCTTTGGCCCCGCCCTTTATATCCTTTTTACCGTTGATATCCCTGTCCATTGTATTACTATTCTGGAAACATTTGCTGATGACACCACCATCAAGTAACCTCTCCCTGATTGAGCACTGGTGTAATAAATGGAGCATCAAAGTAAACGAATCCAAATGCAAACACATTACTTTCACGCTCCGGCGCAGATCCTGTCTACCAGTCCACTTTAATTCCATTCAGCTTCCTTTTTCAGACACAATCTCTCTGTGTCTGAAAACGGAGAAGAGAGAAAGTTGGGTAAAGTCTTCTCCTTGATGGCCTGTAAATTTATCTATATAACGTACTTCAACGAAAAGAAGCTGGGAAAAAGTTAGGAGAGGTGGTAAAATTAGATTTACGAATAACTGGAGAAGTATACAATTTTTGTCGAAGTTGTAATGGTTTTTAAAAGTTTAAAGCATTTAAGAAGTTCAACGCTTATATCTTTTGTTTTTCTTTTTGATATTTTAAAAGTTTCATACATCAACTGAAACAATGTTGTCTATTTTCTCTAGAAAATTATCAATGATAAAAAAGAAAGTTATATAGAACAATGTTTGGAATCACTTTTTATTTATTTTCCTTAAGTTTAATCTCAAATTAGCCGTAGGACTTTTTTTTCATCATGACGTATCGTTTTTTTTTTTTTATAACCTTTATATTATGAAATGTCTGATGTATTGAATTGCTTCGTAGAAAAGAGGAATAATATTTTAAGCTGTCATCCGAAACTGTCATGTCATTGTCACCTAATGTAATGCTTCTACTAATACAAGAGAAGGATTCTTACCCACTTTATACCCCCATTATACATTTTGGTACTCCAGACTTTCAGGATTTCTCGTCCATTTATGAAATCTAATTTCATTTTTATTGCGTCTTCAGGTTTTGATATTTTGTTCCGTTCAGAGTCGTTGGAAATGAGTTAAGGATGGATAAGCTCTTGCTTATTCTTTTATAATATCATGTTTCAATACTATTGCATATTTATATATTGGGATCTGTATTAAGATTTCTATCCTATTTGTTTAAACGAAAGTAGAATTTGTCATTATTAAAACTTGCGCAAATTAAAGATATTTTAGATGATCTATGGACTTCATATAAAATTAGTTTAGAAGAGAAGGTTTGGAAGATTACCCGCGTCCCAGTCGCCCATCAGAAGCCGTTACTTCTGAAACAATCGAACGTATGAAAAAATTTGATAAGATCCCTTGCGTATTTTGCAATTATATGGCTTCAATACAGGAACAAATTATTGTCTTAATTGTGTCTTTATCTTTTTAGTCAAAGATATGTAAAGATTTTAGAAAGAACGGCTGAATCTATTTTGATGTTTGATGTCTATGCGGCAAGATCTCTTAAGTGTTGTAAATAACCTGTTAAAAGTTTAATTGTAAATATTCTTTTTGGTCGGAAATTGTAAATATTCCTTCCGTTTATATCGGGGGACTAGATTTATTTACACTCTTACACTCGTGAATATTAAAACAAAGCCCCGGCACTGGATATAGACTTTTTGAGGGTGTTTAACTGTTGTTGAGAATTCGGGAGCCTAATACTTTTTGTGACTCTGGGTGACAAGAAACAATAAGAATATTTTCAAGTTAATATATTATTAGCCATATTTACACCAATTTAAAAGAAATTTTTGTCACTTAATGACTACTCATCAAAATGACGACGTTTCGGCTCGTCGAGCCATTTTCAAGTCTAAAAAATTTTTTCATTTACAATCATATATTAACTTTAACATATTTCAAATTATAAAGATACTTATTATGTACCTAAAATACCCATCATGTACCTGTCATTTTCACTTATGCGAATTGCAAGCGTCTACTCATAATAAAATTCCTTATTATTGTCATGTTCACCTCCAATTATTTAACAACATTATTATTACTCAATTCTTTACTATTAAATGATTCAAAATAAGTTAAATTTACCTTGTTTCTGAGTCACCCACATATCATCCATCTCATTTCTATTCAGTGACTGGTTATTCTTATAGGAGTAGGTTACTCCTATAAGTGACTGGTTATTCTTATAGGAGTAGGTAGGAGCCGAAACGTCGTCATTTTGATGAGTAGTCATTAAGTGACAAAATTTTTTTTTAAATTGGTGTAAATATGGCTAATAATAAATTAACTTGAAAATAAGTAGTATGCACCGAAGAAGAATTGAGTAATATTGTGAATAAGAATATTTTTATATAATGTGGAACTGAGTAAATACACTTTGAATGAATTTACTCACCTGGTTTGTAATTCTGCAATTGTGAGGCCTATAGGAGAACTAAATAAAAGTACTATTCACTCCTGTCTAAGAAAACAAGTTATTTTACAACTGTAATAAGTGAATATATTAAAGTCTTATAATTGTAGGCTTAATGTTCTTAGTCTTCATTATCGTGCCACTCTCTTCTGACAACCTCCTTTCTTCCTGTCCAGGCCTAGAGTGCCTTATCTTCTCTCCAGCGTCCTTCTCCAGCTGCTGCTACCTGCTCCGTCCTATCCCAACCTTCTTCCTCCCTTATAAACAATCGATATGAGACTTTTCAAATTTAAACTTTAATTTTTCATTCCTGAACTACTGGTATTATTTTATGAGAGGTTTATAAAATAAACCATTCACTTAGTTAAGACCTTTCAGAGACACAAGATTGTAGTGTTTATGATGTTTCTCACTCACACACTCTTCATAGTACTTAGATGTCTCCATACCGATTTCATGAAATTTCACACTCAACTTTCGCTTACGCATGCGTGTATGTATTTTTCACCCATAAATTCCAAAAATGCCTCGTTCCATTAGGCGCAAAGTTGGAGAAAAGCTGGATATTGAAAAAAAGGTGTGTCCATTTTATCGAATTACATCCGGTATTTTTTATACGAATATAAAACCGTATTTCCTTACCATACATATTTCGAAAATGACCTGTCCAATTTGGCAAAAAGCTGGAAAGTAGTTACGTAATGGTGAAGATGATTAAGTATTAAAAGAATGCGCAAACTTACAAAGGCATTTAGTGTATGGAGTTTCAAAATCGAAAATACAAGTGAATAGAAATACTATTTGAGGATAATAAAGTCATTTTAGACTAAACCCTCCTCACATGAATAGGTAATCTGTGTGTTGATTTCCTCACACCCCCCCTCCTCCTCCTCCTTTCCCTGGGCATTGAAGAATTTAACATATCCGAGATATATAGCAGAGAAAGAAAAGGACAAAGATTACCTTTTGTTATAGGAATTTCTTAAAATGAATTTTCTTCATTTACAATTATATACCTCACTGACTTGATATATTATAATAGTATTATCCATAGAAATATTGGTTCTGAAATCATGAGCTCTTTTAGTTTTGTCTATAAGGCAGAGAAGTCAGCTGTTACTGCTGGGTGGAGGATGTGTCCCGCTTAGCATTGTAGTATTTTCAAGCAGAAAAACATGCCCTAAGGGGGCGGGGTAGCCGAATGGGCTAAAGTGTGTGCACAGCACCGCGAGTTGTCCGGCAACCAGATATATGAAGTTTTGAGGAATGAAAAAAAAGTACGAGTTCGCGTCCCGGTGCCGGAGGATATTTTAAATTTCCCGTCCTTACTCCCCGTCCCGGGAAAATCCCGTATTGTCTAAAAAACGAGGTAGGGAAGAAGAAGAAAAAAAAAAAAAAAAAAAAAAAAAAAAAGAAAAAGAAAAAATATGCCCTTCATGTGCGGCGTGAGAGGACACTTTAGCACATCTGCTTACTACTGGCTGAGGAATACTTGAGGACTTGTAAGAGGAACAGCCAAGAAGAACTCTTATCTGAAACTGATCTATGAACAAAGCATAGGAGACAGAGGCAAGGTGAGAAAAGATCAGTTTATTCAACTATAACAATTCAATTAAAATAAAGTAGATAGAAATAGGTGGAATGAGGTTCCAATAACCATGACACGCCTACAACCACTTCAATTCCAATTTTCCCTGATGGTGTGTTGGGGAGTGTAAGTATCAAAATTAGAGAAAAATGAATACGTATTATTTGTTTAGCATTGCTCTAGTTGTTTTTGTTATCATGTATTTTTTGGAAAGTATGAACTTATTATTTATCAACAAAAGTAATGAAGGAATCTATTTACGCTTATTTCTGTATATTAATGTTCTCTTTTTTTATTTACTTTTACTTTTAAGTTAAGAGTTTTTAATAAATAACTACGATGAGTTTTTAATAATAACTTTTACTTTTTACATGAGTTATGAAAACTTTAATCAATATACGTTGCTTATGGTTATGCGAAAACCAATCCATTTCTATGGGTGTTGAACTTAAATACGATAAAATATACATTTGTATTTATTTTTA